GGTACATGGCTTCTCATTATCTACTTATCTGTCTCGTATTAGAAATACTCCCATCGTCTGGTCTCACTTTCATTTTTTGTCTGTCCCAAATAAAAATCACATTTCCTTTTAAGAAATAGAAAACGTAGTTCACAACATTTCTCTCTTTTTTCCATCAATTTCAACCACACATTTTCACTCTTTAGCACTTCTTGTAAACTCTGTGAAAGTCAAAGTGGGACAGTTTCTGCGGAACAGAGGGAGTAGAAATTAAAACATCACTGTAAACGACATCCCTATGACTTAATATAAAGTATGTTTGTAATTATAACGGTGCATATTTGATTTTCGAATGCTTACATATATAGCCACTTAAGGGAAAATTCACTTAAACACTCCCGAAAATTAGCATAATCTAAGAGTACTCTTAAACAACAATGTTTACATGAATATTCCAACATTTGATTTTAACATATATGTACATGAAAAACTCAATAAATACTTCGTCAATCACCAAGGATGGATCTCCAGCTAATTTTTCACCGCATGGCTTTTAGCCTTTTACGTAAATCGTCCATTTTTCACTGGAGTACATGCACACATGAGGACTGGTCCAATCCCAAGTTATGTTATGTTGTAAAAGCCACATACACAGGTGTGTAGAGGACAATTTATGGAATTTTAGATTAAATTTCAGGATTTCCATGTAAATAGCCTTTTGGAAGTATTATTGTACAAGTGGCTAATTTTTGGGAGTATTAAAACGTATATCTCACAATCATAATAGTATAATACTTTCACAGAGCATGCATACTACAACTAGGAACTGAAGATAGTGTTATTCCCCCATTCAAAGATATACAACAACAACAACAATAATAAAACCTAGTATAATTGCAACTCTATTGTTGTCTGAGGTCAAGATGAACACAAGCTTACCCCCTATAAAAACCTAGGAGCTTGTTTATGTAAAGCCTGTGATGCACTTCTCCATTTACTACTCAAAACTTCATAGAAAGTACGAAACAAAAGAAGTTTGATGTGCCATTTCCTTTAGTTCATTATTTACCCAAAACTAATACATTGTCAATAGTGTCTCTTTTGGCTCCACTGGCAGTGGACCCAAGCCATCCAAACAAATTTGTTGGAAGTTAGCACTTGCCTGTGTTAAAGTTGTTGCATCAGCAATAACAAGCGGCACATTCACAAACCGAGCTAGGGTTTTGGCAAGCAGTGTCTTACCTGTTAAAGAGAAATCAATCAGCAAGGACATCCAAATTGAGGGATCAATATCGATGGACATCACTTGTCAGAATATCAAATACTTCTCACAGTATTAAATTCGACAGAAATTATTGTTAATTAAAAGAGAAAATGACATGCGAGAATGAACAAATTGGTATGCACACCTGAGCCCGTAGGACCCATCAGCAACACATTGCTTTTTTCCAGTTCTACACTGTCTTCACTATCTTCCAACACTGTCTCTCCTCCCGATCTAGTATCAAAGCAGTGAATTTTACTTAGTAATTTTCTAGTTAAGCAACAACCCAGCATACTCCCACTTTTTTGGGTCTAGGGGGTCAGGATGTAAGAGAGAGACCCTTGATGCATTGTTGCGTTTACTACCAAAAACTTCATTCAATGTAAGAAGCAAGGGAAGCTTAATGTGTCATTTTAACATCTCTTTCAGCTCCATTGGCAATTGACATTAGTAATTTTCTAGTGCGGAAGTAATACTTTTTTTCAAATTTTTAGGGATGAAAGAACTAGTATTGTAGCGTAATTCATATTTGCACATTGATGATGAAAAAACAGACCACGCTGACAGCCAACCTTGATTAGATGGTAAAATAAGCAATAATTAGAAAGCAATTAGTCACCAACCCCTTTTGCAGAGAAGCATGGTAAATCCTTTTGTAGTGGTTATAAACAGCCACTGAGAGCACCTTCAATTGCACAAAGAAAATACCATAAATAAGTGAGAGAGATAGATAGAGAGAGAGAGAGAGAAAGAGAGAGAAGAAAGATTAAATAAGAACATAGGAAACCCTAATATAAAAATTTCTTAACACTCAGCTTCAATATCTTGACAGTGGTGAGATGAAACCTATGCCGGAAATACTACAAGAATACAAGTTTTTAAAAAGTCCTTTCTCATCTAATTAGACTAATAAAAATATAACATTTTTAAAAATCGAGAAAAGCAGGAAGGTTTCTAATTTCCTGGAAAACTGTTAGTAAGAACCTGCATGCACTAGTTGAAAATTTGAATGTAGTAACTGGTTTATAACATGTCCTTCATTGTTCCACATTTATATAATCAGCATTATTTAATTTTTTTTGAGATAAATAATGATCAAAGAAAATAAAGAAATGACCTTTTTTGCTCGCTCTTGCCCAATGACAAATTTATCTAGCCGCCTACAGATCTCCTTTGGAGTGGGTAAATTCTTACCCAAATTAGACCCACCCCACTCATTCTTATCGTCATTCCCTCCTAAAGCAGATGCTCGAATGACATTGATACCCGGTGCAAATGGTGGGCCTGGAGGAGTATGCACAGCTACCCCATTTGCAGATGGTGGTGACGAGTTGGGGGGCCATTTCTCAGGAGGCTCACCTCCGTAGGACTTCAGAGCCCCCCAAAAGGACGACCTGTGTGGTTTTTGGTAATGTTGTTCAACAGTTGTCATCCGGCTGCCAGGATTCTTGACATTGCCATTTTTATTAACCCTCTCAATCTCAAAGAAGCTCCCTTGAATGGGTGCCATGTCGTAGGCGGAATTACACTTCGGGCAGATATTGTTCTGTGCCTGATTAGAACCTTCCATCTTCGAATTAGTACCATCTTGATCGGGGACAAAGTTACTAACAGCATCGGAAGCAAGGAGGGGAGTAGGGTTCGTGAGGATGAGGCCGGGCTGATTGTAGCAACAAGGGCAACCTACCTCCGCCCTGATCCGCCTGGTTGCCTCGGAGGAGGAACCAGCGCTGCCCCACTTGTATCTCTCCTGCACTCCAATAAGCGATTCCCGGCGCTTTAGTGTGTTTAAGAATCCCCTACTTCTCCTGCCATGAGAATTGAAGTGGGAAGCTGAAGTAGTTGTCGTCACCGTCCCTCTGCCTGACACAACAGTTAGAAGCGCCGCGTTTCGTAATTTGCTCCATCTCCATATCACGGACATCATCTGCGTCTGCAATTATAGTACCGATCAAGCAATCCAAGAAATGTGAATTTCTTTCTCGATAACATAAATTGTTCTTGTCTGATAAGTTCGGATAAGATAAATAGGCAGACGTATAATTGAGATCTGGGAGTCTGAGATTACGGATTGAATTACTACTGTATGTAGAAGGCTTCAGACGGAGTATTTTGATTTAAACTCAGAATATGTTGCGGTGCAGTTCCTCATGACCAGCAGAGTGTAGAGAATACTAAAGGAAACTGAACTGCATTGAAAGGGGAATGCTAAGGTGCCCAATTTCTAAAGTAAAGCTGTGTTTGGTTGGGGAAGGTGAAGGTAGAGTGAGGTGAAATTTAGGAATTACCTTGTTGTTTGGGGAATCAAATCGGGGAAGATAGAGGAAGGTAGGTGGAGATAGCCTAGCCACGTAACAGTGGAAAAATGATGCCAGCCGATTCTCCGGTAACTCGAGGTAAGGTTTGGCTTTCCCTTCATTGTCCTCTTTCTTTCTTTCTTTCTTTCTTCTTCTTCTTCTTATTCTTATTCCTCCTCCTCGGATCTCACTTCTTCTTCCCTTTTTTGCGACTGTTTCTTCTCAGATTTGGACCGCTCCTTTTCTGGGATTTCTTGAGACTTTTTTGCTACTGTTTCTTTCTTTTGGGATTTTTCAATCTTTTTCTTTTTTTTTTTTGCTTTCAATCATTTTTGTTTTCTTTTCCCGTGTCTTTTTGTTTTTTTTTTGTTTATGGTTTTCCATTTTTTATGCTTATGTTTTTGTTGTTTTCTTCTATTTTATTTTCTATTTTTTTCTGTTTTATTTTTCAGTTTTTTTCCATTTTTTCTGTTTTGTTTTCAGTTTCTTTGTTTTAACACTTATTTTTTTCTGTTTTTGTAATTGATGACGGGAGAAGCAAAGAAACCAAATTACTTAGAGGTATTTAGGTAATTTTTTGTGTTCCTTACCTTACATTACCTAATAAATATCCAAACACAATTTTTTAATTTCTTACCTTACTTTACCTACCTTCAATTACCTACCTAATAAAACTTTACCTACCTCCTACCAAACACACCCTAAAGTATATACTCCCTCCATTCTTCAATATTTGTCTCCTTTTCTTTTTTTTGAACCGTCACACAGTATTTGTTTACTTTCCATTTTAAGTAAAAAAAGAGTAAATTCCATAATTGGTCCTTTATAACAGGGGGGTTTCCATATTTAGTCCTCTATTATCAAATATTACCCCCGTAGTCCTTTTTTAAGGGTACCTTTCCACAAATGGTCCTTTTTTTGATCTTCTGTCGTGTTGGTGTTAATTTAAAGGCTAAAAATATAATTTGACGTCAACATTATGTCTAGTGACGTGTTCTGATATTGGTTAAGCGGATAACACAAAAATAATGACTATGATTGTGGGCTAGGATTATGACGAAAGATCACATTTGTAGACTATAGTTATCGTAAAAAGCGACTGTAATTCACAAACGATGCAAGCGTAACAGCCTTTGGAATTGTGTATGACAAAAAAGATATATTATCATTGTGAAATTACACTTTTAGCCCTCAAATTAACACCAACATGATAGAAGATCAAAAAAGGACTGTTTGTGGTAAGGTACCCATAAAAGAAGGACCACTTGGGTAATATTTGATAACAGAGGACTAAATAGGGAAACCCCCTATTATAAAGGACCAATTATAGAATTTACTTAAAAAAACCATGCAAAATACAATTCTACCCTCACCTTGCTTAATCGTACTGTGGTGCATTCTAATTGATTTTTCCATTCACTTACATATTATCAATCCCTCCCCATTCATTTTCTGTAGACTTGTTTTTATAATCTCTGATCTCTCGCTCTATTTCCTCCATAAATAGAGATTAAAAATTCTAGATCTCAAATCCTAGATCTCCACATCACAAATCACCTCACAGCATAAAGTCGTAAACTATTGATCTCCATATTTTCATTACACTTCCTCATCTTCTACAAGGTAGATTGGAGTTTGATTGTCTTCTTCAACGATGACTTTGGATGTCTTCCTCGAGGAGGTTGCTGGTGACGGGTGGGATGAGTGACACTATGATGGAGAAGATTGGGACGAGTTGTACGACAGTGATATGGGAAAGGGCTTATCTTTCGATGGATGCTGGGGGCTGTGAGACAACAGGGTGGGGTGGGTGGGCGTTGAATTGATTAGGGGTGAGCATGGTACGGTATTTAGCTCGTACCGATACCGTACCAAATATTTCGGTTCGGTATGGGATTTCACGTTGTACCGATCCCGATCCCGAAGTATCGGTTCGCTATGGTTTGGGATGGTTCGGTATCGCTTTCGGTACGAATCGGGATGAATATATACGTACCTAGTTTACATCATAAAATGTAACAAAACCTTTTATTTTTGAAAAATTGAAAGTACATTTAACCAAAGAAAGGTAAAAAATTTAAAAATGAAAAAATAAAATACAAGAAATGCTTATGAAAGTTAGTTTATATTTTACAAACTAAGGACAACGAGTGATAACAAAGTATTATTTCAAATATTTGTTAATATTCTTATACTCATCTACAAAAAATAAAAAAAACTCTTATTAAAGTGCAACTTAAACATAATGAAATTAAACTAAATTGTCTATAAAAATTTTTTATTTAATGAAGAAATATAAAAAGATTATCATTTTTATAATATAATACTACATATGTTCGGTTCGGGAATTTCGGTATGGGAAGTAACCTCGTACCATTCCCAAATACCGGACCGACCGTTCGGTTCGGTACGGTTCGGTTTCTTTTCGGTACTTTATCGGTTCGGTATTTTTCGGTTCGGTATTCTCGGTTTTTCGGGAAATATCGGGATCAGTTCGGTCCTTGCTCACCCCTAGAATTGATGGTTTTAGGGATGGGGGGTTGTTTTGTGGGTAAAAAACTACTGTGAAACATGAGAGAAAGAAGGGCAATTTAGTCATTTGACTATCTATCTTGGTTTGAGTGCAAAAACAAAAGTGGATGAATATTGGGGGACGGAGGGATAGAACATAGTCAACATACATGAAAAGCTAAATTTTTAAAATAGTCTTTTCTAATAAAATATTTTTTAATTTATTTCTCAATAAACTCTAATTACTTAAGTGATCTTTTATATTTCGTAATTGAGATTTATCTTTTAGATAGTCATTTATAAATAAAGAGTATTATGACATTTATATAATATAAATTTGAAGTATATCTTCTCAAAATTGTCATTTCTATACAATTAAATGTAAAATTAAAACAATACACTGACTATACATAATCCATGAATTATTAAAACATATAAAAAAATCTTTTAAAATTTGAATCAAATACACATCTTTAATTAGAAAAACCATTTTGGAAAGCACTTCATTAAAAATGATCATTTTAAAAACTTATTCTAAATTTAGTTGATAAAAAATACTAAAATGCCCCGGAATTAAGCATTATTTAAGTAACATTATTTACGAAGGTTTACCTAATAGGTAAATCTCAAATATAGAGGACCGCGTTGGTAATTAAAACTTATTAAGGACTAGTTTAAAAAAACACCTTATTAGAGAAGACCATTTTTTGAATTTACTTTGCATAAAATATACTCAAATACACTTCGTATGTGTTTGCTTTTGGTGTACATAAGAAACATAAAATATCGATTTCTGTCATGATGTACAATTATTGGAGTAGTGATAAGCGCATTTTGTTCTTATTTTATTCAACATAATTTAAGCGTTGTTGCACGAAAATAGTGATAAACAGTGCATAATTATATGTTAAACTGAACAATATCGGTTGGTTTGTCCTTTAAGGAATAATAATTGGTTTAAAATTAATCCAGTTTTGATTTTTTATTTTTCTACTTATATTTGTGAGAAAAAGAAGTTTTTAATTGAGAACTTTATCATGAGAATATCGGAGGAAGTAGAAACAAGTTATGAAGACAATTGGAAATGGAAATTGGGCCTGAATTGGACCAAGCCGCGGAAAAGCCCACAGGAGAACGCCCGAGGCGTCCAACCTTGGACGCTTTGCTGGTTGGACACTTTGGCTTGGACACTTGGCGAGGATTGCACGTCAAACATTGCTGCTTGGACACGCGGCAGGCAGCGAATGGACGGGACACGAATGGCGTCCAATGTTGGGCGCTTTGGATCTGGACGATATGGGTTGGATGCTTTGCGTCCATCCCTATAAATACAGTGTCTCCTTCTCCGAATTTACACGCCGAATTGAGCCCCCTTTTATTCCTAAAGCTCGAAATTCTTCTTCTTTTAGTCTAGATCTCGGAATTTACTCTCATATTTTAGTTGTGCATTATTTTTGGAGTTTTCATAGAGCAATTTGTAGCACGAACATCCTGTTCTTCAGATCTGTCAAAGTAAGTTTTCTACTTGTAATTATCAATTGAAGTATGTCTTCTTATTATGAAGGTATGTTGAGAACTTTTGTTATGAGTAGTTAAATTAATTAGGGATGTGATTTTTGGTAGGGTGATGGTAATTTTTCAGTAAAATTATTATGTTGGAATTTTCTTGTCAAAATCTAATTACTAGTTTTTATTATTGTGAAATTGTCATTGAGATTTGTAAATCGAGAGAATGCAAATCTACTCTTGAAAATTATATGCTTTGAAAAATCTAGAATTTAATTAAGTCAAGTCCTTTAATTATGATAATCAATCCTTAGACATTGGATTAATTATTAAGTAAATATTTAAACGAGTACTTGCTTGCTAGTAAAAAGATTTAAGGTAAAAGTAACCCCAACTAATGATTATACCCCTAAAAGAGCCATCACCTAACCAATAATTACATCCCTATCTTTTATTCTTGAAAAGTTAAGGTCAATCTCCACCCATTATTCGAATTCTTGAAAACTTTTTGATTCAACAAGTAAATCTTGCCTAGCTAGTCTTGCTTAACTCTCCTTCGAGCCGATCCTTGAGACGACATGGGGATAAACTGATCTCTTAAGATCTAGTCTACTCCCTTTATTACTACGGGATTTTGAGTCAAACCAAAATCATTTATCAAATGGCGCCGTTGTCGGGGAGTGGCACGACATTAGTTTAATTTCTTCTAATTAGCTTGGGTGAAGATTGGTTAGAACGATCTTCTCATTTCTTTTTCACCAACCACCCGTAATAACTATTATGGATAACTCTAGTGGTTATTACAGCCCGCTTTCTTACTACCAATCACCCAACCGCCCTCCTTTTCAAACCCGCCAAACCTATCACCCACATCAGACCCCATACAAAGATGACTACCAAAATTTTCTATTTTGACGAAGTCCTATTCGCTGAAGGCTCCTGGTACAAACCACCTTACTGCCGTGACTACACCCTGTTTGCTGAAGAACAAATTGAAGCAAATAAGGTGGCAATTCGAGAAGGAGCAAAACTTCTTGAATCAGTCCGGAAGGAAAATGAGTTCAAAAGGAGATTATGCGAAGGATCAGAGATGATGTAGAAAATGTTGGATGACTTCCAAAGAGAGAGACTAGAAGCCGAGGCTAAAGCTGATAAATTAGTCAATGATCTCTACAAGGCTGTTGAGCTTAAACGCTCCCTCCAATCTCAAGATCAAATGAGGGAGGTTAATGCTCAAAAAGAGGCTCTAGAACTTAAGACCAACCTTGAACCATTCAATCATCGGGTCCCAGTTCTAGAGGATTCACCAACACTATCACAGGAACCCGAGAGCATAACAACTCTCGCTAGGGCTACTGTGGTGATGTTACCTGAATACCCTCCAAGCCAAGTCTCAACCGCATAGTCGTATCGAAGGTGGAACCAACTGAGGGACGTGACTCAGAACCACCTATGCTTATTCAAGAACAGAAGGAGAAGGAAGTTTTGCCTATGGCAATAAATGACCATCTCCTTAATTGTGTTGAAGACACACCTCCAAAGGATCCTGTTCTAGAGAAAATAGAGCCCATTACCTACCCCCAAGATTCCATCATTCAAGAGTCTGAGGAGGAATCTATAGACGAGGAAATACCTAGCATAGAGGAACCAATTTCGTCTATAGATAATCATGCTTCATCAGAAGACTTAGACCAAACTTTCTTTGACTCCCTACTTGACGGGTGTGATTTTGTCTGCCCGAAGGATGGTTGGAGCCTAAAGAGTTGGGACGAGCTTCTAGCGAGTGACCATGAGGACTCGTCCATGGGGGAAAGCATGGTTGTAATCATCAAACCACAAATGGATGGTCAGCCCATTGAAGATAAGGAAGAAATCATTCTCGCTATGAAAGCCAATGATGTGGATCTACTGAGGAGACTTCCACCACCACCAATCAATACAGAGTCTCCTCCTTATATCCTGTTTCCACCAAGCCGCAGGGATGAGTCAAGGATCCTGGACCTTGACCGAGCAAAAATTCAAATACGGTGGTATCAGAAGAGAGTCAAAAGGGCTAAACTTTATGACACTCGGATCGGGAAGTCGCGGAAAAAGTGGGTGAGCGTCAAGATACAGACGTTAGAAGTGCTTAACGGGAGGCAACCCATCATTCATAAAAATATTTAAATAAGTTTTTGAGGTTATTCTTGCCGCACCAGTTTTGGGGGCAAGAGTTATTTTGTTTGTTGTCTTTGCTTTTGCATATGAGAGAATTATAGGGCATACAGTGGAAGCGAAAAAGAGGTCTCACCTGGGGTAAAGACAAAGGTTCTATAGCCTTTGATTATTCTTGATCCAGCATTCCTGGTTGAAATTAGCTACTGAGAGGATATTGACTTCCTCAGTAAATTCTCTATTATTTTGAACATGATTTGGATGCTTGATTGATTTTATTTTGGAGTTTCACAACATGACTCTTAAAACCATTTTGATAAAATTTTATGCATTATTTCATATTTACATGTTATGGTTATCTATTATTTCAATCTTCATCATTGAATCTTTAAAGTACTGAGATACCTTAGTAATTGCATGTGGACATTTCAACCATTAACTCTAATTCTGAATCACTTTTTACCACGAGGGCGTGGTTCCGTTTAAGAGTGAGGAGGTGAGAGTTTTTGGTTGAAATGATCTTTTTAGGAATTGTTTTGCCTATATATTTGAGGGAAAAGATTGTTATAGAATAGTCATCAATTTTACTTGTTTGATTAATTAATCTTTGGTTGTCACCCGTAGAAATTGGGAATTTTTAAAGCTTTTTGTCAAACTTCTATTTTTACTCTAACCTTTTGGGAATGTTTTCTAAAATGATTTGAGATAAATTCACAATTTACTAAGAGTTTTTAAGATCAATCAATTTTTAAGTGCTTTATTGAAAATCTTTTTGCTAAATCTCCTAGGAGTATTTGTAGTTTCATAAAAAGAGTTATTTTCAAAGTATAAGGGGTGACGTTTCAAAGCATACTTTGGTGAGACCGAGATTCTTGTTTTAGCCAAAAAGCAATTGGTTCTATGTCAATTGATGAGGCGGGGTGAGTATGCCAAAAAGCATGTGGTTCTATATTGCGTGATGAGGCCTTTTGAGTGTCAAAGTATACAACCAAACTAGTCCGGACCCAGGGGTACGAACCCTAGCTCATAATATGCAAACATAAATTAAAACATCATTTTATTAAATAAAGAAAACTTACAAGCTCCGTACAAGCGGAACAAAACAGATCTGGAGTCGAATCCTCCAAAAATACTCAAAAGCTATTACTAAGGGGGGTGTATTGTATAAGGATTCTTATTCGTTTAAATAGAAATCAGTGGAATTTGAAAGTTTGGGTGTATTCAATTGCAACTTTTTAAAGTCTATAAAAATCTGAGTGTATTTAATTAGAATTTTAAAAAGTCATTATAAATTCAACCAAAGTCTAGCGGTATTCAAAATAGACTTTTAAAATTGGAAAAAAGTCTAGAGGTATTCAAAATAATATTAAACCCATGGATTTATTAAAATCATTCATATATGAAGATATTTTACTCCATGACTATAAACACTCTTTCTCCATTATTTTCTTTACATAGGAGCAAGTATTCTTCGTGGACTTTTTTACGCAAAAGCCCTGGGTCTGCCGCCTCATCATCCTCCACTGCCGGACAACTTGAAGTCGTAACAAGGCAGCGCCGTTGAGTAAGATTTTCATTCTTTTGAGATTCAGTCCTTTATTGCTTGCTTTTTCTTTTGATTTCGTCTTGTTTTTGTCGATTGCCATGTGATTTTCTTGAATGATGAGGCTTTCTTTTCAATTATTAGGCAATTTTATTCCCTAGTTGCATTTGGTTCCATTGGCGTCAATTTGTGGTCTCGCATCATAAGGCTAGGCCGCATGCAGTGAGTGAATGATGTTAATTAGCTTCCCTTTATCCAGGTTCAAATAATTTGGGGGTTGTTCTTTCTTAAATTTTTTCCTCCTCTCAAGTTTTATACGGTTAGATTTTACTTCAAAATCGTCAAAGATCAGTTAAAGATTGGAAAACACTGAAGACAGTAAAACTTGGGCAACCGAAGAGAGTAACATATTGCTGCAATTGATGGTTGATGGAGCAAAACGCGGTCTCCGTGATGTTAATGGAGTCGTTACCAAATGAAATGATGAGAGTTATGAATGTGATGATACTCAAATACAAGATCAACAATGAGAGAAAGCTAACGAATGGAGATTGAATCTGGCAAATCAAATGTGGGCAACATCTAATAGTGAAAATAGTTAATTCGTTACTTTAATAGTTTTACAATTAGATTTGTTTTCATTTTTGTTGAAACATTTAATTGAGATGATGAATTTTATACAATGCAATATTTTCTATCTATTTTATTAGCATACTTACTTTTTTCCTGTGTGCTCGGTCAAATTTTATTTGTTAATTCAAAGTTGATAAATTTTGTTCATTAATTAGATTAAAATTACATTATCAATTAGTATTAAAAATAATACAATTTGAATTATCTTGTAAAAAATAATTTAAAAAATTATATTAGTTTATTATATAAAAAATACAGCGTTATATATATATATATATATATATATATATATGTATGTATGTATGTATGTATATATATATATATAAAATACTTATTCGGTTAAAATAAATTTATTTTGTTATTAATATAGAAATATAATATTTATTTAATTGAAAATTAAAAGTAATCTTATTTGAGTGCAAAAAATAATGCTAGATGGACATACTTGGATGGTGGTAGAGAAATCTATAAAATTATTCAAATAAAAGTCCGTAGACTTGTTAAAATCCATAGAAATTATTTATATAAAATCAATGACTTTTAAAATATAAATAGAAGTCAATGACTTTCAACACAAGTCCATTGACATTAATAGAAGTCATTGATTTTAAAAATATGAATACAATTCCTTATACAATGCACCCCCTACAACTAATATACAAGCTAAAATGGAGAGGGGATGTGTAAATCCCCAAGTTGGGATGGAATGGGATGATAAAAATGAGAGGGATCGCGCTGTATTTATAGGAACGGAGCGAAGGCATCCAAGTCAAAGTGTCCAAGTCCAAGCGTCCATATCTGGACGCCTGAGCTGTCCCGACCAACCAGGTTTTGTCACATGTCATTCTTGGGCTGCAATCCAGCCAAAGCGCCAACTTGGCCAAGCGTCCAAGTTGGACGCCTTAGGCCCTTCTCTTGTAGGGCTTCACGGCTGGTTCGTGATTTTGGCCCAATTTCGCTTCGTTTTGGCCATGAACACTGTTTTTGACCTCCCGAAAGCTCGTTCAAGCTCGAATCTTGATCCTTTGATGATTGATTCCCTTTTTCTCAAGTATTTCAACATAAAATGGATGATTTATGAAGATTTCATGTGGAATCCCTTTTTATGACTCTTAGAACGAAAATGAGAATTTTATCCATTAAAATCACATTTCATGAGATAATTAAATACTATTTACGTGCAAGAACATTTAAAATATAATGTAAATGATAAGTATAAAACGGACTTATCAAGTAGCCCAATAGTTTTTTCATTTTGAAATGTTGAGTTGTGCTATGAACACACATCTCAATGTCACAGTAATTTAGCACTAATAAGGTCATCTCCCATCAAGTCTAGACTGATATTTAGTAAATATGCTTATTATACTTATGTACATATAATACATGTATGACACTTAAATATATGTATAACTTTATAAATTACGTTATTATATGCATATTTTATGATTTATCATATAGTTTTTTAATACACGTTTTTCCCCTTATTTGCCTATTTTCGACGAAATTTCATGTTCTCATCCTCTCAGTATCTTTTGCCTCTCAACTCTCGCAATCTCACTTCTCAGCTCATGCAGAGCCCAGCAAACGGGAACAAGACTCTAATCCATCACTCTGTCGCCGCCTCTAGCCACTACACGCCACCACTTCTCTAAGTCTCCAATTAAAAGGTAAGAAATTACAAATTAAAATTTACAAATAAATTTGAATTTTATGATTTAATGTATGATTTGTTTAATTTTTTTCATTTATTTGATTTTTATTAAGGTTAGCAAATTAACCTTACAAATACTTTGTATATATGAAGTATTAGTAAATTAAATCAAATATCAGTTTTTATTTACAAATAAATTTGATTTAATTGAGCCAAATCAATTTTGTAGACAAATAAATGTGATTTGGTTTTATGGATAATTCTTGTAATCTCTTTAATTATTTCAATAATTAGTTTAGGTTTTAGATCATACCAAGTTTTTATTTATTCTTCTTGTAGTAATCCTATTACTAGATTACACGAGTCAAGAAATAAACAACGAATAATGGGAAATAAGAGATTAAGGAAAAGATGATTATTGATAGCCTTATTTAGTACTCTGTATATACAATTCATTAATTCTTTGTTGTAACTATATTAATTTTATTTTATACTCAATATGTAATACCCTGATTTGAAAATAAATGAATTGGGGAAAGTAAAGGCTCAAAAGGATTGATAGTACTACTTATACCAATAAGGTGCATCTTCTTTTGAGAGCTCATCACCTAGAACTCCAAAGTGAAGCGTGCTTGACATGGAGCTAGTTTAGGATGGGTGACCCCCTGGGAACTTCCTTGACGCGCACGAGTGAGGACAAAGTGTGCGGGAAAGACTTGTGTTGGTTTGTGGGGCTAGTCTACAATCCTATGAGCGAACACTTACGGCTAGAGTGGGGGGCTGGGGTGTTACAAATGGTATCCGAGCAACCCTGCAACCATGACGGGTCAAAAGAGCTTAGTTCACCTAGCGGGGAAGATCTAAGGGTTTAAAAAAGGATGCAATGAGGATGTTGCATTCCTAAGTGGGGGTGAATGTAATACCCTGATTTGAAAATAAATGGATTGGGAAAAGTAAAGGCTCCAAAGGATTGATAGTACTACTTATACCAATAAGGTGCATCTTCTTTTCGAGAGCTCATCACCTAGAAACTCCAAAGTGAAGCGTGCTTGACATGGAGCAATATTAGGATGGGTGACCCCCTGGGAACATCCTTGGGCGCGCACGAGTGAGGACAAAGTGTGCGGGAAAGACTTGTGTTGGTTAGTGGGGTCATTCTACAATCCTATGAGCGAACACTTATGGCTAGAGTGGG